CATACATATTTTCTTGCAATATACATATGTATATATATATGAGTATATATATATAATGTATATATATATATGTATAATACACACAAAGAAAAACGGAGACTGCAGGCGTGACGGCCCGACCTCCCGTCACCGAAGCTCCGCCCTCGGGGACACCCGCGGGGCCGCCGCGCAGCGCCGGCCGAGCGGGCGCCCGCGGGGCAACTGCGGGGCCCAGGAAGGCCTGGGATTGGGGTTTAGGGTTTAGGGTTTAGGGTTTGGGTTTTGGGGTTTAGGGTTTAGGGTTTAGGGTTTAGGGTTTAGGGTTTGGGGTTTAGGGTTTAGGGTTTAGGTTTAGGGTCTAGGGTTGCTGAGAAACCGCTGCCGGGTTTCGGAGGTTAGGGTTTTCGGGGCTAGGGCTTTCTTAGCTGTTCGCGGAAACCCTTCTTTGTCCCTTTGCAAGCTACAATCTTTCTGGGGGTTTAGAAACACAAGAAAAGCCCACTGGTCTGGGGTTTGGGCAAATGTCGACTTCATCTTGAACCCTCAACCCTGAGCCCTGTGCAAGCCCTGCTGGAAATCCTACACCCTAAGCCCTGAACCCTTGCAGAAACCTTGAGCCCTAAACCCTAAACCTTAAACCCTAAACCCTAAACCCTAAACCCTAAACCCTAAACCCTAGACCCTAAACCCTAAACCCTAAACCCTAAACCCTGAACCCTGAAGCCTTGCTTGCCGTTTCAGCTGAGTCCAAGCTGAGCCCCAGGCCACCGAAAGACCCAGCAGCGTCGCTGCGGCCTCAGCTCAGGGGGGTTTAGGGTTTAGGGGTTAGGGCTTAGGGCTCCGTTTTGGGCTTGATCCTACATAAAGTGTGTTCATATGAATGGCATCTCTGACTTGATATTCCACAATGGTATGGCAGTGGTCATAGTGGACTTTTTAAGCTTATTAGGTCTTTGCCAGGGTTTAGGGTTTAGGGTTTTGGGTACGTCTATGGGTGGTTGTCAACATTATGGTCCCGTTTTGGATCCCGATTATACTACGGCACCTAATATTTAGGGTACCCCAAAAGGGCTTGGGGTTGTTGAGGGTTTAGGGTTGTTTGGGGCTTAGGGATATACAGGGTTTAGGTCCAGGGTTCAAGGTTTAGGGTTTGGGTTAGGGGTGTTTAAGGTCGAAGCCCTTGTCTTGCTTGATGGGCTTCTAAAACCCTAAACCTCTAAACCCTCAACCCTAAAACACCTTCAACCCTCAACCATAAACCCTCAACCCTCAACGGGTTTAGGGTTTAGGGTTTAGGGTTTGGGGTTTGGGGTTTAGGGTTGAGGGTTTAGGGTTTGGGGGGTTTAGGGTTTAAGGCTTCGTAAAAATGGTTTCGGGGGGGGGGGGGGGGGGGATTTTAGGAGTTCGCCGGGGTTTTATAGGGGTTTGGTGCTGGGGTTTAGGAGTTTTTGGGTCAAACTCACGCGTGTACGTCCCCTCAACCCAGCCCCAGATCTTTGGCTCTCATGAGGGGGGGGGGGGGGAGGACCCCAAACCCTAAACCCTGAACCCTGAACCCTAAACCCTAAACCCTAAACCCCAAACCCCAAACCCTAAACCCTAAACCCTATGCCTTCAGAACCCCGAAGCCACTAAACCACCAAAGGGTTTAGGGTTTGGGGCCAGGGGTACCCTAAACTCTCCCAAACCCCCTCCTAAACCGCTAAACTCCCCAAAGCTCCTTGGGGTTGAGGGGTTTAGGGTTTAGGGTACCCTAAACCCTAAACCCTAAACCCTAAATCCTAAACCCTAAACCCCAAACCCCAAAACTCCCAAAAAAAACCCAACATCAAGCAAACTCCATCAGCCAGTAGGCCGCGACCGCCATCAGGCCGCTTCGCAAGGCCATGGCTTCTTCCCTCAGGGGCTCGGTGCTGGCGGGCAGGGGCGGGGGGGGGGGGGGGGGGGGGGGGGGGGGGGGGGGGGGGGGGGGGGGGTGGTAGGGTTAAGGGTTCAGGGCTAGGGGTTGAGGGTTAAGGGCTTAGGGTTGATGGCTCAAGAAGGTTTGGAGTTGGGGTTCAGGGTTTCATAATTACCCAAAACCCTAAACCCTAAACCCTAAACCCTAAACCCTAAACCCTAAACCCTAAACCCTAAACCCTAAACCCTAAACCCTAAACAGTTGGGGTTCGGGTTTTGTCGCGTTGGGACTGCAGCAGTTCGCTCGCTTGTAGGGCTCATGGCACCCGCCATGCCAGCTCTGAACACCACTTTGGATTTAGACCCTAGACTTGGGATGTTTGCCCCTGAAACCTAGCAGTCCGGAATAGGGATTCATAATAGGGCGTACTCTTATCCCTCTGCAGCACTGTGAGTATAAGGGGGAACAGCCGAAGCCGAGGAGGTGCGGTACCCTAAACCCTAAAGCCGAAAGCCTAAAAGCCTAAAAACTAGATTCCCTAAACCCTAAACCCTGAACCCTAAACCCTGAGCCCTAAGCCCTTAAAGAAAAGCCCAAAAAAACACAAGCACAAAAGGAAACGCCCTCTTCGAGATGCAAGAGCACCACAGCGCCCTATACCACCTACTCCCCTCCCCGAACCCTAAAACCTGGAACCCTGAACCCTAAACCCTAAGCCCTAATCCCTGAAACTCCAAAAAGCCAACATCGCAAACGGCGATGGCCTTATCAAGTCTCGTTCATATCACTCGCGGAGCTCGGGTGTGCTACTGTGGCGATGTGTGCGGTTTGGGGTGTAGGGTTTAGGGTTTAGGGTCTAGGGTCTAGGGTCCAGGCTCCAGGGTCTAGGGTTTAGGGTTTAGGGCTTAGGGTTTAGGGTTTAGGGTTTAGGGTTTACAAAGCGCAGCAAGGGACCCCTACTGCAGTCCCCAAGTAGTAAGATTCCCGTATAACAAGGACCCCAACAAGGTACCCTTGATTTCGGAAACCCCAATGCAGGGTTTTGGAGGAAAGGGCTTTAGGGTTTAGGGTTTAGGGTTCAGGGTTTAGGGTTTAGGGTTTGGTTCAGGGTGCCCTTTTGACCGCCATCTTCCTTGTCTTCGCTTGGGCTAGAGGCACATGCCCCGGAAATGCTTCTGTCACGGCATGAGAGATGATGGTCCACTCGACTCCTCTCTCGATGGCATTGCACCAGTTTAGGGTTTAGGGTTTAGGGTTTAGGGTTTAGGGTTTAGGGTTTAGGGTTTAGGGTTTAGGGTAACTTTTCCACGGAAAGTCGTCCGTCCATCTCGTTGTGGGCAAGCCTTGCCTTGCCAGCTCGGAAGGTTGGTGTGGGATCCTACGATCGAGGCATACTTGAGGTTGCCCACATCAGCAGGTGCCAGTTTGCCACTGGCTTCGGCCACCAACCTCTGGTTGAAAGCACGAAGCTCGTCGCCGTGATGATCATCTGGTACTTCGAGATCGCAGCTGTCAACGAAACCCGATTCCGGAGTCAGAGTGGGACTGTCAGGAAAAAGGCCCCAGAGTTGAAGGGATTTGGGGTTTAGGGTTTAGGGTGTAGGGTTTAGGGTTTAGGGTTTAGGGTTTAGGGTTTAGGGTTTAGGGGTTAGGGTTTAGGGTTGAGGGTTTAGGGTTTAGGGTTTAGGGTTTAGGGTTTAGGTTTTAGGGTTTGGGGTTTAGGGTCTAGGGTTTAGGGTTTAGGGTTTAGTTCTAGAGGGTTCAAGGTGACAGGGTGGGGCTTCCGGGTTTAGGCTTTAGGGCTTAGGACTGAGGGCAACGAGGTAGCTCGGGGCGGCGCTTGCCGATTCTTTGTCCGCGGGAGCCGCGAGGAGGGGAAGGGCTCTTCGAGCCGACATGCGTCGCAGAGTTGTAGGGTTTGAGGTTCTCGGGTTTTAGGGTTTAGGGTTTTTAGGTTTTAGGGCTTAGGTTTAGGGTTTTAGGGCTTTAGGGTTTTAGGGCTTTAGGATTTTAGGGTTTTAGGGCTTTGGGGCTTTGGGGTTTTAGGGTTCCAGGGTTTTAGGGTTTTAGGGCTGGGGGTTTTTAGGGTTTTAGGGTGTTTAGGGTTGAGGGTTCCCAAGACGCCCAGGTGCCGTTGCTTTGCCTGAACTCGGTTTACAAGGGCCTGAAGCACGTTGCCTGGGACCCTATTCACCTACACTTTAGTAGGAACTACCCTCAATTAGTAGGTGCAACCCATAGAACTGTAGGTAAAGAGAGTCACAGGTAGGGCTTAGGGTTTCTGATTTTCCTGGACATTGAGAAGTTCACTAGGCAAGTTGGGTGTTGGGGGCTAGGGCTTAGGTGGGTACAAGGTTTAATGAGGCCCCGAACCCCAAACCTACAGCCTCTGAACCCCAAATGCCTGAACCGGAGCATATGCACCCTAACGGTGAAAACCCTGAATTCATATGAATGACATGAAAAGATACACCCCAATGAATGCCACCAGCCCAGTATAAACGGCCCGAACCTCGTAGGAGCCTAAAACCCTAACATCGCCCAGTCTAAGCCTTGTCTAGGCTGCCCAGTAACCTAGGCTTAGCCCATTTTTGCTTGAAGGGGTTATTATGTAAGGGAACCTAAACCCCCCAAAAAGGGAATAAGGGTACTACTGGGCATCCTAGTTGTTGCGTTTCGCACCCTACAGACCTTGCAGCCTGTGACCCTACACACTGAACGCTGACTGGAGTGGGGCGAGGCTGGGGCAATAAACCCTTAAACTCCATCAGCCGTGTTGATGGTGTTTCTTGGTGGGTTGTCGCAGGGGGAAACCCTAAACCCTAAAACCTAAACCCTAAACCCGAAACCCTAAACCCTAAACCCTAAACCCTAAACCGTTTTCGAGTTTAGAGCCCAAACTTGAGGCCTGCGTGAGTCTGGGGCTCAACTTTTGAAGCTTCAGGGCCTCGGGCTTGGGGTTCGGGGCGAAGGTTCAGGGCACCGGGGGAAATTGTAGCCCTAAACCCTAAACCCCAATCCCCAAACCCCTAAACTCTAAACCCTGAACCCTACACCCTAAACCCTAAACCCTAAACCCTAAACCCTAACCACTAAAGTGACGAGCATCTGGGTTGCCGACTCCATGCCTGTCCGCGGGTTGAAGGAGTTCTGCTTGCAGAAGCCGGGGTCAATCACCTCGCTGTGATCTGTCAAGGGTTTAGGGTTTAGGGTTTAGGGTTTAGGGTTTAGGGTTTAGGGTTGAGGGTTTAGGGTTTAGGGTTTAGGGGCTAGGGTTTAGGGTTTAGGGGCTAGGGTTGAGGGTTTAGGGTTTGGGGTTTGGGGTTTGGGGTCCGGGGTTTAGGGGTAGCCCAGAAACCATATTATGAGAACGGCACCCTTTTCCCCTATATGGGGGGTTTACGATAATAAGGGACCCGAATATAGACCCCCAAATAGTAGGATCCCCTCATACTAAGGACCCCAATAAGGTACCCCTAATTTCGGAAACCCTAAACCCTCAACCCGCAACCCTAAACCCTCAACCCTAAACCCTGAACCCTAAACCCTACACCTCATACCCGAAACCCTAAACCCATTTAACACCCGAAAACGGGACCAAAGCCAGTTTTGGGAGCGCGTGTGCTTGCGGCCAGGGTGTGCCCTGCTGCTCGACGAGCACTCGGATCCCAATTCGGGGGTTTAGGGTTTAGGGTTTAGGGTTTAGGGTTTAGGGTTTAGGGTTTAGGGTTTAGGGTTTAGGGTTTGGGGTTTGGGGTTTGGGGTTTGGCGTTTTGGGGTTTGGGGTTGTGGGGTTTTGGGGTTTTGGGGTTTTGGGGTTTTGGGGTTTTGGGGTTTTGGGGTTTTGGGGTTTTGGGGTTGTGGGGTTGTGGGGTTTTGGGGTTTTGGGGTTTTGGGGTTGTGGGGTTTTGGGGTTTTGGGGTTTTGGGGTTTTGGGGTTGTGGGGTTTTGGGGTTTTGGGGTTTTGGGGTTTTGGGGTTTTGGGGTTTTGGGGTTTTGGGGTTTTGGGGTTTTGGGGTTTTGGGGTTTTGGGTTTTGGGTTTAGGGCTCAGGGTTTAGGGTTTGCAGCAACAGAGCTCTCAGCAAATTCAGACCCCTTGGGGAGGTGCCTCTCAGGGGCCTCCCTTGACTTGCTCCTCAAGAAAAGGCTCCGCAAAGGTCTCTTGAGCTCAGGGAGGGAGGTTTAGGGCATTTGGGGGGTTTCGGGTTTAGGGTTTAGGGTTTTCCTTAGGTTCTTAAGGATTGAAGCTGGAACCCTAAGCCCTGAATCTCAAACCCTACAGTTTCTGCACCTTAGAGGGTACTTGCAACAAACTGAATCCTGGTGCCAATGACGCCATGACACATCCTTTTTAGACAGCTGGCCCCAAACTCTAAGACTTAAGGAATCTAAGGACGGACCCTAGAAGGCCTTCATCTTCTTCCCCTACATAAACACCTCACCTCCCGACCCCCTTGACCCCATAAACAACCACCCTGAACCCTAAACCCTCAACCCTAAACCCTAAGCCCTAAGCCCTAAACCCTAAACCCTGCAACACTCATACCCTAACCCCCTTAAATCCTGAACCCCTAGTCACGATTCCCCCCAAAGAATAAGGGACCCCTTATCTTAGGGTTTAGAGTTTAGGGTTTAGGGAAGAGTACCCCCCCAAGATTTTGGGAACTCATCCAAGTAGGGTCAACTCAACTCACAGGGCCCCATGGCGTAGACAATGTTGTCAATGGTGATGGACGTCTCAGCCTCGTTGGCGCAAACGCGCCGGGCGAAGGCTCATTGAAAGGAAAGTGTGGGGGCTGATTGGGTGCTTCTTAGGGTAGTTACAGTACATGGTCCCTTAATATGGGCACGCAAAAAGGGGATTCCTTACCCCTTATATACCCTATACAACCCAAGGGCCCATACGTCAGAACTCTTTGAAGAGGGTCAGGGATCATATGTAAGGGCCCATGAAACTACCCTTAGAGTGTTGGGGTGCGTGCTGCTCGCCACAACCGCATCACTCTGGCTGGCTCTTAGTAGGGAGTGAGGGAATGAGGTAATCTATAGAATCTCTGGAAGGGTATATATATAGAGGGCCCTCACTCCCTCATTCCCTACTAAGAGGGGGGACGACTTGGGCATTCTGACTTTCGGGCTTCAGCGAGAGGCCTTGGAATGAGGCACCACCTTATCTTCGCCTACATATTATCCCTTTAAATGGTTCTCTAGGCTACCAAGAACCTGGTGTAGGGTTCAGGGTTTAGGGTTTAGAGTTTAGGGTTTAGGGTCTAGGGTTTAGGATTTAGGGTTTAGGGTGCCACTGACACCTAGACCCCTACAAGCCCCACTATTATAAACTACTAATTGCTTAAGAATGAAAAATTCAAAGAGACTCTTCCTTATGAGGGTAATATCGGGATTATTAGTTTATCTTTTGGGGGGTCTTTAAGCAAACAGTAGCCTATAACCCCCCCCCCTTTCAACCAGGACAAAATAGCACAAGGGAAGTGCAACTCTGCCACAGGTGTAGACATGCCCATTGGCATCCCGTGGCACATGTAACTCCTTTAAACCCCTAGCAACCCGATACCCCCCTATAAACCATACCAACCCTAGGAACCCCCATACATGCTCTCAATCCTATAAACCACCTATACACCCCCTATAAACCCTATAAACCCTATGAACCCTATGAACCCTGTAAACCCCATAAACCCTATAAGCCCTATACACCCTATGAACCCTATACATGCTCTCAACCCTCTGAATCCTGAACAGTCCCCAGCCCCTCCCCCCTAGGTGGCGAGACGATGTTCGTGGCCAGCACAACCTTCCGCCTCAGGACGATAGGGTTCTTCAGGGAGGGGGGGTTCAAGGAGGGTTTAGGGTTTAGGGTTTCGGGTTTAGGGTTTAGGGTTTAGGGTTTAGGGGTATGTAACCCAAGGTTCCCTACTACTCCCCGCTACTCCCTTAGGCACCCCAGGCTTCCCTCAGGCTCCCTAGGTACCTACCCCCCTTGACCCCCCCCCCCCCCCCCGAAGAACCCTAAACCCTAAACCCCTAAACCCTAAACCCTAAACCCTATAACAGGATGTGGGCCTGCAGCCTTATAGGGCTTGTGGGCTTTCGGGCTTTTGGTTCAGGGATTTAGGGATTTCAGGCTGTAGAGATTTAGGGATTTACGGTTAGGCGCTCAGGGCATTGGAGAAGGGCTACATGCGGTCCAGCGTGATGTCAATTCTCTCGATGATCCCCTAAAGCCTAAAGCCTAAAGCCTAAAGCCTAAAGCCTAAAGCCTAAAGCCTAAAGCCTAAAGCCTAAAGCCTAAAAGCTTCAAGCCCAGAGCCTAAAGCCTAAAGCCTAAAGCCTAAAGCCTAACACCTAAAGCCTAAAGCCTAAAGCCTGAAGCCTGAAGCCTGAAGCCCAAACCCTAACCCAAAACCCCAAACCCTAAAGCGAGGCAGCCCGACACCTGTGGGGGTCCTATCTCTCTCAACCCTAAACCCCAAACCCCAAACCCTAAGCCCTCCCACTACGTCTCACTCCGAGGCGAAGACGCGCCATCGGGCGTCTTCTCGAAGATCTTTGCCTGGATGCGAGGTTGTAAACCTTAACGTTGCGCATATAAATATAAATCTAAATATAAATTCACATATACACATAGACATAAATACAAATATAACTAACTATAAAAAACAGCTGTATTGTGCACAGTATGTATGTATGTATGTATGTATATATGTATGTATGTATGTATGTATGTATGTGTGTATGTGTGTATGTGTGTCTGTGTGTTGTGTGTATGTGTGTATGTATGTATGTATGTATGTATGTATGTATGTATGTATGTATGTATGTATGTATGTATGTATGTATGTATGTATGTATGTATGTATGTATGTATATGTGTGGGTGTATACATATATATATATATATAGGCACATGTCTATCTATGTATGCGTGTGTATCTGTTTATCATACCTACCTGTTCATTTGGTCAGCTCTGGAGCATCACTTACTTGTACGCAAGGTTTCGCCAGAGGCGGTTTGCATCCAAGCTCATACCCTCTACCTGGACCCTAGATCGGTTTAAGTGTGAAAATAGCAAAGAAAGATGCAGGTATACCACATGTATGAATACATACACTCGTACACAGGAGGTACATACATGCATGCATGCATGCATGCATGCATGCATACATACACACATACATACATATATATATATATACACACATGCATACATACATGTTGCATCCATGCATGTCAGGAGCTGAAAGTGGGGTGGGGTTGGGTCGCAGGGTGCAGCCCCCCCCCCCGGTTTGGGGGTTTGGGGTTTAGGGTTTAGGGTTTAGGGTTTGGGGTTTAGGGTGCGGGTTTAGTGGAGCCGACCACTGGAGGCTTCAAGGCCTGCAGCGCAGGGGATTTGCAATGAGGCACCTTATGATCCCCCTCAAAAAACACGCTTGGAGGACTTTATAAGGGGGTCCCTATACCTGAGCTGCGAAAGATATTTCGGGGTTTTTTCACGGACAAAACCTCTACACACAAACTTACGCAAGGCTACTTGCATTGGGAGTTTGCCTACAGGGCACGCTCTAGCCACATCTCACCTGCGCAAACCTGCGTGAACCGTGCATAAGCGAGCTATGCAGCTATACAATCTGACTAAGAGATCACTTCTCAACTCAAAACCTGCGAAAGCCTATGCAAACCTATGCAGTCGACATGAACCCTGCACGAAACCCGATGCCCTAGCTGTCAATGCCCTGAACCCTTTCAGTGCCTTCACTGCCCTACACCCTACACCCTGAGCCCTAAACTCGAATTGCCAATATGCTGAACCCTAAAACCCCGAAACCCTAAACCCTAAACCCTAAACCCTATACCCCATACACTAAACCCTAAACCCCTAAAGCAACGGCGCCATCGCGCCCCACCTGCATATCCGTGGGGAGGTTGGCGTAGATGGGAAGGACCAGGAGCTCTCCCATGGCAGTGCCCATGCCTGGGATTTCTTTTGGTTTAGGGTTTAGGGTTTAGGGTGTAGGGTGTAGGGTTTAGGGCTTAGGGCTTAGGGCTTAGGGTTTAGGGTTTGGGGTTTGGGATTTAGGGTTTAGGTAGGGTTTAGGGTTTAGGGTTTAGGGTGGAAGAGGGTAGGAGGGGTAGGAGCGGGGGTGGGGGGTTAGGGCTTAGGGTTTCGGGGGTTAAGGTTTACAGGGCTTGGGGGTGTTGAATCCTATCAGCCTCAAACCTCCTTGTAGACTCCCGACAGATCCGCAAACCTAAAGTCCACCGCTTTAGGCGCTAAGCTCTAAACTTAGACCCCTACAAACCCCTAGAAACCCCCCAAAGCCCTGTAACTGTAAATCCTGTAAAACCCATGAACCCTATAAAGCTCTGAGTTTAAGAGCCCAAAACCCACTTTCTGGCCAGCGAGACACGACGCCTTTGCCCAAAATGCTCACTGCAGCCATGGCTCTCTACTTGGAGGTTCATGGTACTTGTTAACCAATTATAGCTGTACTCATAACCACGCTATAAGCCCCTTAAGTGCCCTAATATGGTTACAAGTACAGTTTTAAGTATTGCATAATTGGTTAATAAGTACCATGAACCTCCAAGTAGGGTTTAAGGTTAGGGCTCCTGGGGTACATGAAGGCCCCTAGAAACACCCGTAGACAGCACTTACCACAAAACAGCCAAGCCCTCTAAGACCTTGAAGACCCTTTGAAAGCATACCGTGAGCCTTAAACCTTTGGGGAGGGCCGTGAGCCTTAAACCTTAGGGTTTTGGGTTTTGGGCTTAGGGCTTATGGTTTAGGGTCTCCTAAATCCCAAAACCCGTACACCCTCGAACCCTAGGCGACGAGGAGCCTCGCGTCTTGAAGCTCAGAAGGTCCATCGCCTTTGGTAGGTTCGGGTTTGCGGCGTTGATCGTGCCGCTACGTGCGGCTTGAGTGGATACTCTTGAGAAACCTAAGCCCGGGGAAATTAACCCCGAACCAGTCCCAGAATCGCGTGAAACCCCTCAGCTCTCAGCCCTAAACCCTAAACCCTAAACCCTCAACTCTTAGCCCTAAGCCCTAAACCCTAAACCCTCAACCCTAAAAGAACATCCCTCGTCGATGTTTTCTGGTCCTGGAGACCCTGGTACCTGGGAGGCCTTGGAAGCTCCCGAGGCACGTCAACCAGCCCCCAACACTAAGCCTCAGGGTCCTAAACCCTAAACCCTAAACCCTAAACCCTAAACCCTAAACCCTAAACCCTAAACCCTAAACCCTAAACCCTAAACCCTGAACGAACAAGAAGCGGCGACCTCCTCGATCTCCTGCTGCCCGGTGAAGAAGACCAGCACGTCACCGGGCCTCAGGGCTAAGGGGCCTTGGGCCTTAGGCCTTAGGCCTTAGGCCTTAGGCCTTAGGCCTTAGGCCTTAGGCCTTAGGCCTTAGGCCTTAGGCCTTAGGCCTTAGGGTTTAGGGTTTAGGGTTTAGGGTTTAGGGTTTAGGGTTTAGGGTTTAGGGTTTAGGGTTTAGGGTTTAGGGTTTAGGGTTTAGGGTTTAGGGCTACGGAAGGGCGAAATCACCGTTTGCCCCATCGTACTACAGGGGCTTAAGCAAGTAGAAGATAGGGTTTAGGGTTTAGGGCCTCTAGGGTTTAGTCTTTACGTTTAGGGCTAGAATAGGGTGTTAGTTGGGGAGTTTTTGTAGTATAATAATAAAAGGGACCATAAGGGAATACTATTAGTTTTTCTATTCCGACCCCTATATTAGACCCTCCAAGATTTGGGGCTTGGGGCTCAGGGTTGAGGGCCTGGGGTTTGGGTTTTGTTTTAAACCGGAATCGCGAATGCGCAGCAAGAATGTTGTCCGGTCAGCGTGAAACAGGTTCCTCCTCCCCATCTACCTTCCACCCCCAATTCCTTTCCAGCACCTCCACCTCACCGTGATCGCCCTCAGGTCTCGGCCGCAAACACCCCAACCTCACCAGCGAACTCCCCAGCTTTGGACACCACGTGGTTGTTTCCACCAAACACCCCAACCTCCCCACCATTGAACCTCCACATCATTGGACACCGCGTTGTGGTTCTCATCACCATCCAGACCACATCCACCCGAGTCAGCAGGTTTGGGGTTTGAGGTTTCTAGGGTTTGGGATTTTCAGGCTTTCAAGCTTTAGAGCTTGGCATGCAGCTTCTCGCTCCACTCCACTATCATTCTCAAACAGAAGGCTGCCCACGGTTTAGGGTTTAGGGTTTAGGGTTTAGGGTTTAGGGTTTAGGGTTTAGGGTTTAGGGTTTAGGGCTTAGGGTTTAGGGTTTAAGGTGTGGGGTTTAGGGTTTAGGGTTTAGGGTGAGCAAGTCTATGTTCTGGATGTCTGCCTTTGTGCAGCATGCGGCATTGGATGTTCCCGACTGGTTAGGCTTCAGGCTCGACACAAACTCCGTGCCGACTGGCACACATGATGCGGCCGGGACGTGTCAACTGCTGCATAGCTATGCAAGCGCATGGCTGTTACTGTTTTGAACGCATTCATAGCCTTAGGGGGTAGGATTCAGGGTTCAGGGTGTGGGGTTTTAAGTTCAGGGTTTAGCGGGACTAAACGAAAGTCCGGGGTTGCTCCGCCCGCTTTGTCGCTTCTAAGACTTCTCAGGCAAAAGGTGTCAGCGGGAAGCCTAGAAGTGCTTAACAAATCATAAAGTACTCCCTAAACCCTAAACCCTAAACCCTAAACCCTAAACCCTAAACCCTAAACCCTAAACCCTAAACCCTAAACCCTAAACCCTAAACCCTCAACTCTACAAGCCCTGACACCCCTCAGGTCTGACGCCCCACTCCACATTTGAGGATCCCGGCCCCTGGGTCAAGTGGATCTGCAGCACCGTGATGACCTGAGCTGAACCCTGAACCCTGAACCCTGACTGAACCCTGAACCCTGAACCCTAAACCCTAAACCCTAAACCCCAAACACCAAGCCCCAAACCACCCCACCCTAAACCTCAAAGCAGTAGGGCTTAGGGTGCTCGGTTTGAAGCTTGGGGTGTGAGGTTTGGAGCTTCGGGTGTGACCCCTACTTCTATTTCTTTCGTTGGCCCCCGTGCTTTAGGTTGTGGGAGGCGAAAGGGCTGGAGGACTCCTGGGGTTCTAGGGTTTAGGGTTTAGGGTTTAGGGCTTAGGTTCGAAGTTTAAGGTAGGGTGGGGCTCTAAGTTGGGGGACGGGAGGGGGGAGTGTTCTAAACTAGCGCAACCTTTCCTAACAGCTCCCCTTGTGAAACGGACCCCCTGCCCAGGCAAGGGACCCTGACAAAAAGGGGCCGTTTTCAGGGCTTCTTGTCTGTAAGGGGATCTGTGAGCCAGGTACCCCAAGAAGCCGCCCAAGGTTTTCACAAACTCACGCATAAACTGATCAGGCTGAGCTGCGCAAGCGTCCAGGTAGTTCGCTTCCGGCGCCTTCGTGTAGTGGATGCTGACCTGAATTACGAACCACTAAAGACCTGGAGCCCCTTAAACCCTAAACCCTAAACCCTAAACCCTAAACCCTACAACCAAGACCCACGACCTCTCCATGCACCTCCTCCGCTCGTTGATGATAAGCATGCCAAAGCCAAAGCACGCCAACCCCTGAACCTAAATCCTGCAACCTAAAAACCCCAAGGCCAAACCATGTATACCTAGGGCTAAGGATCTACAGCTTGGGGCTTCGGCCCTATGGCTTTGTGGTCAGGGTTTAGGATTCAGGGTTTAGGGTTCTAGGACTAGGGTTAGGGCTGAGGGGTCGGCATCTCATGAACAAGCTTCCACTCGTCAAGCGACTTATCTAGTGAGGGAGAAGCTCGCGCCCACCCAGGGAATCCCACAACATTAACAAAACATAAAGTTCGTTTCTATGTATGTATGTATGTATCTATTTATCTATTTAGATATCTATGCATTCATTATTTCACGATGACCAGAGACAAAAACAAAACAGCCCAGAAGGCCACCTGCGATGCGAAAGGCGAACAGAGCTGAAAGCGTCTTCAAGCCTCCGGTACCCAAAACTACAGACCTCATTCAAGGGTGCCAGGGGGCGTCCCCCCCCCCCGGCGGGGTCGGATTGACCAAAACTTAAGCAGGGTTGGCGCCGATTGACCACCAGGGATGGAGCCAATTGAGAAATTTAAACAGGGTTGGTGGCCGATTGACCGCAACTCACAAAGGGTTTAATCAATACATAATGTATGTCTATATGTATATGTATAGGTCAGAGAAGGTCTCGGGCTTTGGTTTTGCCTCCTGGCAAGCCTGCAATTGTGGAGCACGGGCTCGGGCCGGGTAGCGGCGCCCAGGGACATTGAAGATGGGCGCCTAGGGCCGAGGATGAGGATCCCATGTTGGGGTTTCGCTCCTAGGGTCTTCGGGGTCTTTTTGCTGTTGATTTGTTTTTTTGCTTTGGGTGCGGGGGGTGTTGGGGTATGGGGTTGCTGAGGTTTGAGGGGGTCAGGGAGTTTAGAGTTAAGGTTTCGGGCCCACCCACCCCACCCCAGTGCATTGGGCGCGGGGAGGGGGAGAGGTTGGGTTCTTCAAGGGCCCACAACCCTCAACCCCGAGGACACACTTGCTTCGGGTATAAGCGGGTATAAGGGCTTCAGCGCTGTAGAGTGCCTACAGTAAACTCTCTAAAGTTGGAACATCATTATCCTCATAGCCCAAGAGGGTCACTACAAGGAATCCCAGCACTAGTCGTTCTTACACCATGTGCCACCTTTCCTAAACCCTAAACCCTAAACCCTAAACCCTCAACCCTAAACCCTAAACCCTAAACCCTAAACCCTGTAGATGGACTCAGGGGTGTAGGCTGCGGGCTGCTGAGCTGTGGCAGACTTTCAGGGCATTAAGGGGGTCTTAGAGATCATAAGCACCCCCACCTTCAACCCCCAAACCCTAAGGCTCTACAGCGTAAACCACAACTAAGCCCTGGAGATCTACAAAGGCCACAAACTCTAAACCCTAAACCCTATAAACCCTATAAGACCTGAATTCACAGAAGAAGTCCTGGGCGCCGCACATTGTCGAAGTACTCGGAGAACTTCTCAGCGTCCAGCGTGGCCTTGCGACAGCATTCCGTTTATGGCTCCTAAACCAGTATACTAACAGTACTCCTTTTATGAATCCTATATCACTATACTAACAGTATGCCTTGTTTATGGTTCCCTTTATGGTTCCTATATCATTATACTACAGTCTTCCTTTTATGGCTTGTTTCTATATCATCATACTCTAATAACCCCTAATTACTAGGGCCTACTGTAGGAACCCCGATTGGGCCGCTAAACCTTGAATTGAACGCCCGAGGCCCGAAACATGAAATAAAAAAACAATATATATATATATATATATTGCTTGAAGGTTCAGACGCTTTAGATCGAAGACTAGGGGCTTCATGGCCCTCAATCCCCTAAACCCTAAACCCTAAACCCTAAACCCTAAACCCTAAACCCTAAACCCTAAACCCTAAACCCTAAACCCTGAACCCTGAACCCTGAACCCTGAACCCTAAACCCTAGCGAGCCCCCGGCGGAGGAGATGATCAGCTTCAGATCTTGTCGAAACCTGGCCACCTGGGTCCGGCAGGTTCTTGCGCTTGAAGTGTTTAGGGTTTAGGGCTTCGGGTCCCTAAACCCTAAACCCTAAACCCTAAACCCTAAACCCTAAACCCTAAACCCTAAACCCTAAACCCTAAACCCTAAACCGTGTTGGGAGACCCCAGGGTTGAGGATCTAAGCTTCATGCAGGGTCTAAGCTTCAGGATTCAGGCTGCATGCCGAAGCCTGCACAAAAAAAGGCAGCACCCCGAACCCCTATGAACATCCCTAAGCCCCTGAACCCTAAACCCCAAACCCTACACCCCAAACCATAAACCCTGAACCCCAAAACCCCAAACCCCAAACCCTAAACCCCAAACCCTGGTCCCCCAAACCTCGCCGCCGAAGTGAAAAACAAACCCTTAGATCCACGACCGGGGGAGCCGGCATCCTTGACGAGGCCGAAGAGCACGTCCGTGTGCAGCGTCCGCTCCTGGGGCGGGAGTTTGCATGCGCAGGAGGAGCCCCCTTAGACCCCTTTGCAGCAGGGTTTATAGGGTTCAGGGTTTAGGGCATTCAAAGTTTAGGATTAAGGGCCAAGGGTTTAAGAGTTAGGGTGTAGGGTTTAGGATTTAGGGGTTGGGGTTTTTGAGTTTTGGCATTTGGGGCATAGGGTAGAGAGGGGCGTGCGTGTTTAGGGCTTGAGGCCAGAGACCCTTAGCGGGCTCCAGCCCACACCCGAAACAGGTTTCGGGCTTTGGTTTTAATTAGGGTTTTGGGGTCTTAAAGTTTGGGGTTTAGGGTTTCGGGTGTTACGGCTCTAGGGTCTAGGGTTTAACACTGACCGGAAAGGGCCCTGTGAAGCAAGAAGTGAGACCCCGGCGTGCGCTTCGTCAACCATCATCACCTGGGAGCCAACCGCTTGAGACGTTCGCGGGGGTTGAGGGTTTGGGGGTTAGGGTTATAAGGTTTAGGGTTGTAGGGTCATAGGCTATGAGCTTGCAGGGAAATCTTCTGGGAGTTCGGATTTAGGGTTCTAGGGTTCTAGGGTTCGGGGGCTTTTGGGCCGTAGAAGAGTAGCCCTAAACCCCAAACCCGAAAACCTAAACCCTAAACCCTAAACCCTGTTCAAATGTCAGAACCCCAGAGATGCGCCCCAGAGATGCGCTGGCCCAGACCTCCCCTCAAGGGCGCGGGCGGAGTAGGACGCCATGTCTGGCTCGTGCCTCAGCTCTGGCTTTAGGGTTTAGGGTTCAGGGTTTAGGGTTTAGGGTTTAGGGTTTCGGGTTTCGGGTTTAGGGTTTAGGGTTTAGGGTTTAGGGTTTAGGGTTTAGGGGTTAGGGGTTAGGGGTTTAGGGTTCAGGGTTCAGGGTTCAGGGTTCAGGGGTCAGGGTTCAGGGTTCAGGGTTCAGGGTTCAGGGTTTAGGGTTTAGGGTTTAGGGTTTACGGTTTAGAGGGTGTGGGGCCCTGTGAGGGTTTTAGGGGTCTCTAGGGGCCCTTCTGAGGGTTTTGGGGTCTCTAGCAGCCCTTCTGAGGTTTTAGAGGTCTCTAGGGTTTAAGGTGTACGGGGTTTGGGGCTTTAGGTTTTTTTGCTGAAAGGTTCTAGGCTCATGGATTTGTTTTGTTGTTGCAGTTTTCGGGGTTTATCTAGAGTTGATAGGATTTATGCAGGTTTTGTAGAGTTCATAGGGATTAGGGCTACTCGGGCTCCGACAGGAAACTCCGAAGGAGCATTCCGTCGGTCATGTACTCAATGATGGTGCGATCGGTGGTGCAGTCCTCAACCGCAGGGTTCGGGTTTAGGGTTTAGGGTTTAGGGGTTTCGGGCTTTGGGGGTTTGGGGGTTTAAGGGTTTAGGGGTTTAGGGGTTTAGGGTTTAGGGGGGTTGTAGGGTGTACAATGAAATCTATAGCCCCCTGAACACCAGAACTTAACTTGCAGGGGTTTGGGGGGGGATTTGGATTTGCACATCAACTTTAATATTAAAGCTCAGCAACTCATGATGCCCAGTGGTTTTCCCTGAGTTGGGGACCCCTGGCTGCGGGGCCCTAAACCCTAAACCCTAAACTCTAAACCCTAAACTTCGATTTGCGTTGAGCGATGGCTTAGCGCTGAGTGTTTTGGGTCTAAAGTCCTCAAGACGTGATGAGAGACAAGGGGGGACCAGCCGCCGTAACCCTAAACCCTAAACCCTAAACCCTGCACCCTGAAGCCTAAACCCTAAACCCTAGACCCTGAACCCTAAACCCTAAGCCTACAAAGGACAGCACCACCAGAGCCCCGCGTCCTCGAATCGGATGTTGTAGCCCACTTCATGGCCCAGCTTGCAGCCTCTGGGGCAAGGGACCCTTGAGATGTACCCTAAAACCCTAAACCCTAAACCCTATATAAACCTTAAACCCTAACCCTACACCCTTAACCCTAAACCCTGAACCCTACAGGGCTCAGGGTTCAGGATTTCCAGCTTTCTTCCCTCTTCCGACAGGGGTTCGGGGTCTGGGGTTTGGGCGTATATTGCAGGCTTTCAGGAACTACAAAATTTAGGACAGGGATCCCCGAGGCTGCACGGGAAGCTGTTTTGGGCTATACCCGCCTCTCTCTCCAGATCTTCTAAAGTAGCTTCGGCATTTCAGGGTTTAGGGTTTAGGATTTAGGGCTTAGGGAAAACGATTCTGCAACTTTGTCGAGATTGCAAGATACACCCGCAATGACAGTACCAAGCATGGCCCATCATGTCCCTAAACCCTAAACCCTAAACCCTAAACCCTAAACCCTAAACCCTAAACCCTAAACCCTAAACCCTAAACCCTGTCAACCCCCACATTGACTCTCCTCTCGCTTACCCCTAAACCCTAGAACCCAACCCCAATCCCTGAAGGGCCGAAGCCTTAACCCAAACCCTAAACCCTAAAGGCCCTAAAGGCCCTAAACCCCAAACCCTACAGGCCCTAAATGTTAAAGGCCCTAAACCCTAAAGGCCCTTAAACCCTAAGCCCTACGGGCGTAAACCCTAAACCCTAAACCCTATACCCCTAAACCCCTCTAAAGGCCCTAAACCCGAAAACCCACAAACCGGGTTGGGTCCCGCACCATATTCTTTCGCCACGCGCGCGGCGACCTCAGGATGCAAAGGGCTTAGGGTTTAGGGTTTAGGGTTGAGGGTTTAGGGTTTAGGGTTTAGGGTTTACGGTTTAGTGTTTAGGGTTTCAGGGTTTTAGGGTTGAGTTTGGGGTTCAGGGTTTGAAGTTTAGGGTTTAGGGTTTCGGGTTTAGGGCTGAGGTCTTGGGATGTTTAGGGGGCTCGGGCTGGGATGTTCCCCCTTGTACTGACAGTCCTTAGTAGGAAGTACTATAGTAGGCGGGCACCATCATCCCTGTTAAGGACTGTTAGTACAAGTGGGAACATCCCAAGTTTCAGGGTTTCAGGGTTTAGGGTTTAGGGTTAAGTTTCGGGTTTCGGGTTTAGGGTTTACGGTTTTAGGGCCTAAGGTTGTTTAGGACCCTAAGCCTTAGGAGCTCGGGATGTTGTTCGGGACTCCCAGTTTGGGCTCGGCCTACACCCCAAGAAACACCAACCCGAACCCCAAACCCTAGACCACAAACCCTAACCCTAAACCCTAAATCCTAAAAGGCCCGTTAAAAAGCCTGAAAGCCCTAAGCTCACCTCCCCACCCCGGAACCCCCGCCCCCTCTCCCAAAAAATGCCCCCTAATCAAGAACCCCAAACCCCTAAACCCGTAAAGAGAAGAAACAAAAAAAACAACCAAAAAGCCTAAACCCTAAACCCTAAACCCTGAACCCTGAACCCTAAACCCTAAACCCTAAACCCTAAACCCTAAACCCTGAACCCTGAACCCTGAACCCTAAACCCTAAACCCTAAACCCTATTATAAACCCTAAACCCTAAACCCTAAACCCCCCCCCCCCCCCAAAGCCCCGACATCCTTGGCCCCCGAGCCGACATCGCGGCCACTCGCCGGGGCTGCGTGCACCTGGGGGTTTGGGGAGGGTTTAGGGTTTAGGGTTTAGGGTTTAGGGTTTAGGGTTTAGGGTTTAGGGTTTAGGGTTTAGGGTTTAGGGTTTAGGGTTTGGGGTTTGGGGTTTGGGGTTTAGGGCTTATGGTTGGCTAAGGGTTTATGGTTTAGGGTTTCGCAGCTGAGGGTACTGCTTGAACTTTGGGCATGTTCACGTTGAGGAGTTTAGGCTCGGAAGGCTTCCTGGCTTGCAGGTGCAGCTGCTGCTTGCGGATCCTTGTCTGAGCGTTCAGAGTCGCTCCAAGGCGAGCACTACGTTTAGGGTTCAGGGTCTAGTTACGTGTTTCGGGGGGTTTAGGGATGAAGAGTGTCAGCCCGGCACCCAATCTTGCCGATCTTGGAGTAGCCGACCTCGTGGAGGTACTGCCTGGGAAGACTTAGGTTTTAGGCATAGGGTTTCTCAGGTTTAGGGTTCAGGCTTTAGGGTGTAGGGTGTAGGGTGTAGGGTTTAGGTTTAGGGTTTGGGATTTAGGGTTTAGGGTTTAGGGTTTAGGGTTTAGGGTTTAGGGTTTAGGGTTTAGGGTTTAGCGCCCCTTATACTAACAGTCCTCATAAGGGGCAGCTCGTACAAGGGGGAACATCCCAAGTTTGGGGCTTAGGACTTAGGGCTTAGGGCTTAGGGCTTAGGGCTTAGGGCTTAGGGCTTAGGGCTTAGGGTTTAGGGTTTAGGGTTTAGGGTTTAGGGTTTAGGGTTTAGGGTTTAGGGTTTAGGGTTTAGGGTTTAGGAGGTCCGGTGCTTTGGGTGATCAAGCCCAATCCAGCATAAAAAGGCGCAGGCCTAAACCCCAAATGCCAAAAGCAAAATTTAAAACCCCGAAAAACCCTGAGTCCCTAAGACTCTGAACCCCCTCAAAAAAGCCCAAACCTCTAAAGCTTTCCTGCTGAAGCCCCGTAAACCCAAACCCTAAACCCCAAACCCTAAACCTAACACCAACCCTGAACCCCGAACCTCAAACCATATCCCTCAACCCAAACTGCTAAACCCCAAACCCTAAACCCCAAACCCCAAACCCCAAACCCCAAACCCTACACCCTAAACCCCAAACCCTAGACCCCAAACCCCAAACCCTAAACCCCAAACCCCAAACCCTAAACCCCAAACCCTAAACCCTAAACCCCAAACCCTAAACCCTAAACCCCGCACCCTAAACCCTAAACCCCAAACCCTAAAAAGGCCCTTGGGCCCAAAGCGGGATCTGGGTTGTCTTCCCCGAGCCCGTCTCCCCAACGATGATCAGGACCTGCCGTTGAGACTTGGGGGCTGGGTGTTAAGGGTTCAGGGTTTGGGGTTTAGGGTTTGGGGTTTAGGGTTTGGGGTTTGGGGTTTAGGGTTTAGGGTTGGGGTTTGGGGTTTGGGGTTTAGGGTTTAGGGTTTAGGGTTTGGGGTTTAGGGTTTAGGGTTTAGGGTTTAGGGTTTAGGGTCTAGGGAGTTCGGGATTTAGGGGGTCCGGCGTGCGATGAACAATCCCTCGTATGGAGTTCGCCGCCTGGTAGTCGCGCACGGCCTCCAGCAAAGGGGCCTCCCGGTTTCGGGGTTTGGGGTTTGGGGCTTAGGGATTAAGGTTTGGGGGTTCGGGTTAACCCCACACCTTGAGCCCTAAACCCTAAACCCTAAACCCTAAACATCTGCCTTGTAGAGGTACACCGGCAGCGACTTCCGGTCCTTCAGCAGCTTGTCTGCCTGGCCGTTTAGGGTTTAGGGTTCAGGGTTTAGGCCTTAGCGTCTAGGGTTTAGGGTTTGGGGTTTAGGGCTTGGGGTTTGGGGTTTAGGGTTTGGGGTTTGGGGTTTGGGGTTTGGGGACTAGGGTTTTGGGGCGTGGTTGGTGGCACCTTTGGCGGGTGGGGGGCGGGGGGGTGGACATTGTCCTACACTCTCAGCCACTCGCTCTCGCTCCCGCTCCCGCTCTTGCTCTCTGTCTCTGTGAGATAACGGGCCTCCTTCTTCAGCATTTTGTCTGCCCGCGCGTCGCGGACGGCCTTGGGTACGTTCATGTCCTCCCAGGCACAGGGGTATAGGCTTAGGCTTGGGCCTTGGGATGTAGAGCCTAGGGGTTAAGAGTTCAAGGCTTAGGGGTGTGCAGCGGCATGCGCCCTAAACCCGTGAGCCCGGACGCAGCATGGACTTCCATGTGCTTCTGTAAACCCTGTGCTGAAACCTTGGACCATGAAACTCTGAAGACCCCAAACCCCTAAAGCCTTAGACCAACAAACTTGTGAGGAAAAGCAAAAAGCAAAAACCTAAGCCCAACAAGACACCTTGAACCCTGAAGCCTACTCATCCTTGCTTTTGCGGGGTTCTGGTTGGATCGTCCGGGCTCGTTGGCTCTGGAACTGGAAGGGACCCAAAACGTAAAAGCCCTACACTAGACCCAAAGCCCTGAATGACCACATAAGCTCCCTGGTCTCAGGGTCCTGAAATAACACCTCTATGAACCTACAGCATAGTAGAAATTCCCTAAACCCTAAACCCTAAACCCTAAACCCTAGACCCTAAACCCTAAACCCTAAACCCTGTAATGAGGTAGTATAACCCATCAAGCTGTAGGTAAAGCCCGCGTCGAAATCGAACCCCGAACCCTGAAACCAAAGCCCTACCTGGCACCCTATTTGCCTACAGCTTAGTAGCAACTTCCCTTAATAAGCAAGGGTTTAGGGTTTAGGGTTTAGGGTTTCGGGTTTAGGGTTTAGGGTTTAAGGTTTAGGGTTAGGGTTTAGGGTTTAGGGTTTAGGGCTATTTACCTACAGTTTAGTAGCAACTACCCTTAATTGGTAGGTACAGCCTATAAAAGGGGTAGGTAAAGAGGGTTGCAGGGAACCCTAGCTACACTTTAAACCCTGGCTGAACAAGAGTAACCTAGCAAGCCCTAAACCCTAAACCCTAAATCTGAAACCCTCATGCCCTGAGCTGCCCTAACACCATGAATCCAGAAAGAATGAAAGAACCTAAACCCTGAACCCTAAACCCTAAACCCTAAACCCTAAACTCTTTAAAAAAAAACTAAACCCTGAGGTCCTAAGCAACCCCTGACACCATGAACCCCTTGTGAAGTGAATAAGGAACCGAAAGCTCCCGAGGCTCCTCACAAGAACCCTAAACACCCTTAGGGGTTTAGGGTTTAGGGTTTAGGGTTTATTGCTTAGGGTTTAGGGTTTAGGGTTTGGGGTTTAGGTTTAGGGTTTAGGGTTTAGGGTTTAGGGTTTAGGGTTTAGGGTTTAGGGTTTAGGGTTTAGGGTTTAGGGTTTAGGGTTTAGGGTTTAGGGTTTAGGGTTTAGGGTTTAGGGTTTAGGGTTTAGCGGTTAGGGTTTAGGGTTTAGGGTTTAGGGTTTAGGGTTTAGGGTTTAGGGTTTAGGGTTTAGGGTTCCAAACCCTAAACCCCCCAACCCTAAACCCTAAACCCCAACCCTAAACTCCCTAAACCCCAAACCCTTAACCCTAAACTCCCTAACCCCAAACCCCAAACACTAAACCCCCTAAACCCTAAACCCTAAACCCCAAACCCCAAACCCTAAACTCCCTAAACCCCAAAGCCTAAACCCTGAACCCCAAACCCTCACCCACTAAACCCTAAACCCGAAACCCTAAACCCCCCTAAACCCTAAACCCTAAACCCTAAACTCCCTAAACCCTGGAGCCTGTCGCCCTGATCCTGAGCTGGCTCCTTCTCGTCCTCGTCGCTGGAGGCTTCCGCCTTGGGCCCCTCTGCAATGGTGGGAGCCTGGGGATGGAGCCCTAAACCCTAAACCCTAAACCCTAAACCCTAAACCCTAAACCCCAAACCCTAAACCCTATAAACTCTAACCGTAAGCCTTCAACCCTGACAAAAGGGTTCAAGCTTTAGAGCTTTTGGGGGTTGGGGGGCTTCGGGGTTTATAGGGTTTAGGGTGGGGCTTGGGGTTTAAGTGGCGGGTTGGGCATGGCGTGAAAGACAAAAGGGCCTATATGGTCAGCCGAAATATACCCGCTGAAACCCATTGTTAAGGGAAAATATAAAACATCCCAAGGGCCTGCCTAACATAGATTGGGCCACAATGGCCGCGAACCTTCTTCGCCTCAGCCTACACCTCGGGCGCCCAAAATCCAAAACTCTCTGAGCTTGCCTTGAAGTTGCCACCGACGACCTCCGCCTCACCGAACTCCACGGCATCCTACCGACGTGCGGGGTGGGGGGGGGTACGGGTTTAGGGTTCAGGGTTCAGGGTTTAGGGTGTCGGGTTTAGGGATAGGGTTTTGGGTACCCTAAGCCCTAAACCCAGAACCCCCCAACCCCCCCCCCCCCTCAAACGTCTGAACTGATAAAACCTTAGCCAAACCCGAAACGCCTCAATCTACAAAACCCAACGCCCTAAGCCCCCCTAAACCCTAAACCCTAAAACCTCACAAGCCCTGAACCCATGTCCCAGCCTCGAGGATCAGTTCGTACCTGGGTTCAGGCACGCGGTGTGTGCACGACTTGGGCTGTCGAGCTTTTGAAGGCTTAAGGTTCGGGGTTTAAGGTTTATGGGGTTTAGGGTTTAGGGTTTAGGGTTCAGAGGTTTAGGGTTTAGGGTTTAGGGTTGAGGGTTGAGGGTTGAGGGTTGGGGGTTGAGGGTTGAGGGTTGAGGGTTGAGGGTTTAGGGTTTAGGGTACCAGACCGTCCCGTGAAAAACCCTTAACCCTAGCGGAAAGCAACGGAGTGCTTTCGGGCCCTACTCACAGGGTTTAGGGTCTGGGGCTTCGGGGAGCTTAGTGCCTTGGAATTTAGGGTTTAGGGTTTAGGGTTTAGGGTTTAGGGTTTAGGGTTTAGGGTTTAGGGTTTAGGGTTTAGGGTTTAGGGGGTTTAGGGTTTGGGATGGCATCCAACCGGGTTGCTGCGTCTTCTCCTTGTTCTCTTTCCGACCTCACAGAAAACTAGCTGGAGGAACCCTAAACCAACTCAACCCCCTAAACCGCCGAAACTCCCTCAACTCCCCTAAACCCTAAACCCCAAAAACCCCATAACCCTCTAAACCTTCTGAAACCCCATAAACCCGAGAAAGCTGCTTAGGGCTCTAGGGCTCTCGGGCTTGGTAGCTTAGGGTTTGGGGCTTAAGGCTTTGGGGGGGTTAGGGTTTAGGGTTTAGGGTTTAGGGTTTAGGGTTTAGGGTTTAGGGTTTAGGGTTTAGGGTTTAGGGTTGAGGGTTGAGGGTTTAGGGTTTAGGGTTTTGGGTTTAGGGCTTTGGGGGTTTGAGGTTAGGGCTTTAACGTGGTAGGTCTAGTGGGCTGAGGGTTCAGGACTGGCGGGCTCACAGAAACCAAAGTCCCCTCACCCCCAGCAGCAACTCCGCGGTAAGAACGTCAGAGGCCGAGCACCCCCCTAAACCCTGAATCTAAGAAACATGAGACATACCGCTGGGGCATACCCTGAGAAGCAGGTTAAGGGGTATGGCAAAATCCTTCCTTATATTCTTCTTTCATAGATTATATAAGGGGTATGGCTTTGAAGTTTGCTGAATTAATCTTAGGCTTACTCCCTAAACCCCGGCCCTTTCTCGAGGGAGTTCTGCAGACTGAAGTATTTGAGGCATCAAAGACCCCACCACCCCACCCCCCACCACCTGCCCGAAACCTCTGACCTTAGGGTTTTGGGTCTTGGGCTTAGGGCACCCTTCCTTAAGCCCGACCCTAAACCCTAAACCCTAAACCCTAAACCCTAAACCCTAAACCCTAAACCCTAAACCCTAAACCCCTAACCCTAAACCCTAAACCCTAAACCCTAAACCCTAAACCCTAAACCCTAAACCCTAAACCCTTGGGACACGTGTACCAGCAGCAGATAAGGAGGCCGGGCCTTTCTGCGCGCCATATTTCGCCACCGCCTGAACCCAAGAATTGAAACCCTCAACCTTGGGAGGGTTTGGGATTGGGGAGATTGGAGAATGGACCCCCTAAACCCTAAACCCTAAACCCTAAACCCGACGCCCTAAACCCTAAACCCTAAAACCCCTGATTGGACCCAGCTCTACAATCCAGGGTGGATAAGGGGAAGCCTTACGAACTTCACCCTAAACTCTAAGCCCTTGATCATAACAAAACCCTAAACCCCACTTTGCAAGTCCCTTGACCCGGGTTTAGGGGTTTAGGGGTTTAGGGGTTTAGGGGTTTAGGGGTTTAGGGGTTTAGGGGTTTAGGGGTTTAGGGGTTTAGGGGTTTAGGGGTTTAGGGGTTTAGGGGTTTAGGGGTTTAGGGGTTTAGGCGTTTAGGGGTTTAGGGGTTTAGGGGTTTAGTGTTTAGTGTTTAGTGTTTAGTGCTTAGTGTTTGGGCTTTGGGGTTTAGGGTTTAGGGCCTGGGGCAATCCACTGTAGAGTGCAGGATTCCGGCCACCTCTGCTTGCCGCAAGGGGCAGGTAGGGACAACTCGCAGGAAGCAGGCGTTCGAAGTGAGCAGAGGCAAGGCACCTGTGACTCTCGCTGCACACCTAAACCCTAAACCCTAAACCCTAAACCCTAAACCCTAAACCCTAAACCCTAAACCCTGTGCAAGCGCTCCGGTGCTTTCCACTGCGGCAGCGTGGGGCAGATACTCCGGCACGGCCATATGGCTGAAAGCGTTCTGGAGCCGGCCTTGAACCCACTGAGTTTCCATGACCCCCTGCACATCATGCGTAAGCTTTCTCCGAAATCCTAAACCCTAAACCCTGAACCCTAAACCCTAAACCCTAAACCCTATAAGCCCCAAACCCTAAACCCCGAAGGGTTGAAGGCAGGCTGCAGCGGGGACGGGTAATTTTTGCGGCGAATACCAACCCGGGCATGGCCGTGATAGTGGGTTTAGGGTTTAGGGTTTTGGGTTTTGGGTTTAGGCTTAGGGTTGGATTAGGCCTTAGGGTTTAGGGTTTAGGGTTTAGGGTTTCGGGCTTAGGGGGTCGCAGGCTTTTCAGCTCCTACATACACCGACAAACTTTAGAGGGGTGTTGGGGTTTAGGGTATGTGGGGTTCATAAGCCCTAGCGTTTAGGGCATTTAGGGTTCACAAGCCCTGTAAAACCCTCCAGCGCAAACTCTGCAACACGAACCCTAAACCCTAATTCCCTAACTCTGCTTAACGGCCCCGCGACCTTGTTCACAGTCGCGTCCTCTAGCTGCTGCTCCTCGTTTGGCTGCCACTTCCTGCTTCGTGGCACCGGTGGGGGTTTAGGGTTTAGGGTTTAGGGATTAGGGTTAGGGTCTAGGTGTAATGTTGAACCCTGTTTAGTGTAGGGCCCCCCCCCCCCCTGCCCTGAACAGATTTTGCTCTGTTTAGACGGCCCCGGGGGTTGATATGATTTAAATAGGGAGGAGTTTAGATAAGTTTAAAAGGGGCAGCGATGCCCGGCAATCTTTTTTAAGGCGCGCGCCACGTGGAATTTTCTTACGGCGCCCGGACGATTTGACCTTCAACAGGGACTCCCAAACAGTCAGGATGTCCTGAACAACACACCCCAAAGTGACTTTATAGGGGAGGCCCCTGCTAAACAGGGTCCGGCATTAGGAGCTTACTTGGGTTCATGCACTGGGTTTTTCTGGGCTCCTACAGGGAGTCGTGTCCCTGCCGACACCCCAAAAGCCTGTATACCCCAGGGGCCCATGCGACCTGGCTTAGGGTTTAGTTTTGGGGGGTTTGGTGTAGGTGTGGTTGAGGTTGTTAGGTCTCATAAGGGTTTCTAGGGAGAACTGACACAGGTTTGGCTAAAAAGTGATGTAGCCAGACGCATGGTTGTCATTCTATCCGTCTTCCTTCTCCGCACTGATCCCTAGCACCTCAAGTCCCTGAGCTCTTACGCCCGTCCCCCTTTAACTCCAGAATCCTAGCCCCTTGCATTCTCTACTATTTGGTCAGACAAAGACCCAACAGAATCCTAAGTGAGGCCCTCAAGTAGACAGGACCCATCAGGCCAGGGTTTAGGGTTTAGGGTTTAGGGTTTAGGGTTTAGGGTTTAAGGTTTAGGGTTTAGGGTTTAGGGTTTAGGGTTTAGGGTTTCGGGTTTAGGGTTTAGGGTTTCGGGTTTAGGGTTTGGGGTCTTAGAAAGCAGTCCCTGATGTTGGGTGCGTTCTGCTGTAGAGGGTCCCCCCTTGCATTCCTACGGGCAGCTGTGTGAGTTATGGTCCCGTCGGGTTCGTACTATGATACGGAGCCCTATGATTATGGGTAGACCCGAGAAGGGATCATCATGAAGAGAACCAGGAGCCCCGAAACCCCTAAAAAAGGGGCCTGAATAATTAGAATAGGGATTTCGGGAATTTTGGGTAGAATCGTACAGGGACCATAAGGGAGTCATTCGAAATTTGTCCGACCCTGAAGAATCTCTGCGACAGACCCCCAACATGTGAGGCTATCACATCTTGCTGAGGGTCTGAAGTACAGAAAATGTCGACGTCGGGCACGGGGCGGAGGGTTTAGGGGTTTAGGGGCTTCGTGGTCTATAGTGGTTTAGGATATCGGATAGAGGATTCGAGGCTTGGGGTGGTTAAAGGTTTAGTTTGGGACATAGGCCTTGGAATAAACTCGCCTCAGAAAGCCTAAACCCAAAGCCCAAGGCACTCGTCGTAGGTCTGCTGGTAGCGCTGCTCCAAAACGGCAAAGCGCTTGTCACGGCCTGTTATTGACTCTTGGAAGACTTCAGAAGCCTAGAAAGGGAACGTGGCCCTCTCCCTTGTATATACATATATATATATATATGTATGCACACACACCCACTGGATCCATAATATGAAGCCCTGCATGAACCCTAAGCCCTAAACCAAAAGCCTCGGGCCCGCCCTACAAATCCCGACACGCCCTAAAACAGAATTGCCACCAAACGTCTCCAAAAGAAACGTCCTTACATGAAAAACAACCCAAAATGGCCCTTCAACTCGCAACAAAAGGCGTTCAAACTCCCCAACACCTCAGCCCGAATCCTACGAACCCTTAACTCTTAAAAGCCGAAAAGCCCTGAACCCAAAGCCTACCCCGCAGGTCTCAGCCTGACTTGCTCATCTCCTCGTCGTCGTAGGTGTCTGGCATGTTATAGGTGTCTTGCCGCTCTAAACCACGCTCCTGTCTTCGGATTGTGGGGTTCTTCGGGTTAAGGTTTACGGTGTCCTAATAGTAAAAAGGCGTTTAGGGGGGCTTTGGGTTTTTGGGGGTTTACTGGAGCGTCCCGGCTGAAGAGCTTTGAAGGCTTCAGGCGTTGTGAGGGACACTTCTGCATAGCCGGAGCGGCTCCTGCAACCCAAGTGTCCTAAACCCTAAACCCTAAACCCTAAACCCTAAACCCTAAACCCTAAACCCTAAACCCTAAACCCTAAACGTCCCAAAGGCTCTGGACCCTCTGGAGTTGTAGCGCACTCAAGAATTTCGGGTTCTCGACCTGAAGACCGAAAACCTTTTCTGGCGCAGGCATAAGAGCAGAGGAGAGAAGGGTTTAGGGCTTTAGGGCTTAGGGGTTTACAGGGTTCAGGGTGTAGCCCTAAACCCTAAACCCTAAACCCTAAACCCTAAGCCCTAAACCCTAGGGTTTTAGGATTTTTGGGCTAAATCTCCTCAATCCGCTGCTTGGTGACGTCGTAGAGCTGCCGCTCGAGCTGGATGTACCTGGCAGCAACAGCCGTAAGGGCCCCCCACAGCAACCTCCGGTTAGGGCTGTAGGGTTTAGGGTTTAGGGTTTGGGCTTTTGGAAGTCCGGTGTAACGTAAGAAGGGCTGAGGGCTGGAGTCTTAAGGTTGAGGTTTCCAGGAAGGTTTAGGGCTCTTTTCACGGAGGTGGTGTTGCTCTCTGCAGGCTCTTGTGGCCCTTCCATAAGCCATTCCGTCCAGCCCTTGCCGTTTTACCCCCACCACGAACCCAAATCCCCGCCCCAATCGATTCCCCGCTCCCCCCACCCACAAATCCCCGCGGCCAACAGCGAGAAGAAGCTGAACATCTATTCGTAAACACCAACAACCCGAATGGTGGTTCTTTAGGAAGTTTTTAGCTCATGGCCAGAGCGAGCTGACCACAACCCTGTTTCCTAAACCCCAGATCCCAGATCCCCAAACCCCAAATCCCAAAAACCGCGAACACAAAAACGCGAACCCGAACCATGCCAGAAGCACTGCTGCTCCGAATCAGACAGCTTCTCGCCCTGTCGATCGGCGAAGATCAGCAAATTTCTGCCTAAACACTAAAACCCTACACCCTAAACCCTAAACCCGAATGAAATCCTAAACCCTAAACCCTAAACCCTAAACCCTAAACCCTAAACCCTAAACCCTAAACCCTAAACCCTAAACCCTAAACCCTAAACCCTAAACCCTAAACCCTAAACCCTAAACCCTAAACCCTAAACCCTAAACCTACCCGAGGGGTTGAGGGCTGGGAGTTGGGGGACCCTCCACCACAAGCTCGAACAGCCTCGCCAACTCAACTCAACCCTCAACTCCGAAGGCGCTCCGCATCACCCGCACCTCCCTCTGCTCCACCCCAAGCCCTAAGCCCTAAAACTCCTAAGCCCTAAGCCCTAAACTCTCAGACCTAAACCCTAAACCCTAAACCCCAAGCCCTGAGCCCTAAGCCCTAAACCCTAAACCCTAAACACCCCCCCCTCAGGCGCCTTCAGCAGCCACTCGGCATCTGCCACCTGCCGGCCTCTAAGGTCGGAGATCTTCACCTCGCAGCCGCATAGTTTTTGGTTTAGGGTTTGAGGTTTAGGGTTTAGGGTTTAGGGTTTAGGATTTAGGGTTTAGGGTTTAGGGTTTGGGGTTTAGGGTTTAGGGTTTAGGGTTTGGGGTGTGGGGTTTCGGGTTTCGGGTTTCGGGTTTCGGGTTTCGGGTTTCGGGTTTCGGGTTTCGGGGTTTTGGGGTTTTAGGGTTTTAGCGTTTAGGGTTTGGGGTTTAGGGTTCAGGGTTTAGGGCTCAGGGTTGTTTAGGGGGTTCATAGAGTTCGTAGGGGTTTGTAGGGTTCATAGGGTTCGTAGGGTTCATATCAATCCGATAGTCTAAACCCTTGAGCTCTCGAACCCCCCAAGCAAAGGGCCGCAAACTGAGGCCTTTGAGAGCTTGACCCCGAAACCCTACACCCTAAACCCGAAACCCTAAACCCTAAACCCTAAACGCTGAGCTGAGGCTTTTGGACTTGCAAGCTTTAGCTTAGGATCTAGAGTTTGGGCTGTAGGGGCTCCTAACGAACCTACCTGAAGATGGGTTTAGGGTTTAGGGTTTAGGGTTTGGGGTTTAGGGTTTAGGGTTTAGGGTTTGGGGTTTGGGGTTTGGGGTTTGGGGTTTAGGGTTTTTGGGTTTTTGGGTTTTTGGGGTTAGGGCGGAGGTGCCTAAGCAGGTTTAGGGCCCACAGGGTTCAGGGCCGACGGCTTGCAGCCGGGAGTTGGACTTTGGCCTTCAGGAAATTTCCGGTGTCATGTGTAGGGGGAGGCAGAATCGGGTTTAGGGTTTAGGGTTTAGGGTTTAGGGTTTAGGGTTTAGGGTTTAGGGTTAAGGGTTAAGGGTTTAGGGTTTAGGCTTAGGGTTTAGGGTTTAGGGTTTAGGGTTTAGGGTTTAGGGTTTAGGGTTTAGGGTTTAGGGTTTAGGGTTTAGGGTTTAGGGTTTCGCGTTTAGGGGGGGAAGCAGAATCTGGTTCTCAGGGCTCAGGAACCCCCCCAAACCCTAAACCCTCAGGTTAGCGAGTTCGAAGTTGCGTTGGTTCGGGTTTAAGCTGTTTAGGGTTTGGGGTTCAAGCCCTAAACCCTAAACCCTAAACCCTCCCTAAACCCTAAACCCTAAACCCTAAACCCTAAACCCTAAACCCTAAACCCTAAACCTTTGGGATTGGGGGCTAGGGCTTGGGATAGCCTTCAAAACCCGAAGTTACACCCACCGTGGCGCCTCTCGCTCACCCAGGTACTTCCGACGCGCCATGAGCCGGATGTGGTCAATGGCATCCTTGTTTAGCGTTTAGGGTTTAGGGTTTAGGGTTGAGGGTTTAGGGCGATGAGGGTTAGGGTTGAAGTGTTTAGGGTTTAGGGTTCTAGCCCTGAACCCTAAACCCTAAACCCTAAACCCTAAACCCTTTCAGAGGGTCTAGCCCAAAGCCCCAAACCCAAAACCCTAACCCCTAAACCCCTAAGCCCTAAGCCCTAAAACCCGTAAGCTCTCCACCCTCCACGCTTTATCTCGGTAACATCGCCGGAAAAATGTCCGCCGAGCATCTCGGCGTTCCTCCTCATTGGCGAACTCGAACTGCTTCTTGCCTGCTGTGAGCTTGGGGTTTAGGGTTTGCGCTGAACGGTTTAAACCCTACACCCTAACCCCTAAACCCTAAACCCTAAACCCTAAACCAAGAAGGCCCCGAGCCCAAAATCTAAACAGGGTGCCCTTCTGCCCCGTAAACACAGCACGTGGAATGTGAGGGTTTAGCGTTTAGGGTTTAGGGTTTAGGGTTTAGGGTTTAGGGTTTAGGGTTTAGGGTTTAGGGTCCGTCGACCCTGGCGGCGTGTTGGATGGGAAAAGGAGGTGAAAACCTCCCTCTTTCCCCACCCCCCTACCCCCCCACCCCCCCCCCCTCCCCCCCACCCCCACCCACCTGTCTTTTTGTCTTGAGCTTGTCCTGGTGCTACCCCCTACCCCCCCCCCCCCCCAAACGATTCATCAGAACTCTGCCGAGCGGGTTTCGACCTCTCAACTATGCTCCAGCGGGGTCGGCGGCTTGAGCCGGAGGCTCTTAAATTTAGGGTTTAGGGTTTAGGGTGTAACCACCCTTCTGAACTCAGCATTCTCGGGTTTGGGGTATCGTGCTTAGGCCCAAAGGCCATACTACATAAGGCTTTTGGGTGTGATTTTGAGCCTAAGGGTACGAGCATTCCCAGGTTCACACCCCCACCTCCCACTCAAAGCATCGAAACCCCGAAACCCCGAAGCGAACCCTAAACCCTAAACTCGAGGATCAATGGCAAGCGCCCGGCTTTGAGCTGCTTCGGCACCGGTGGTGCTGCTGGCGACATGTCGCCTGGGCGCGCTGCTTCATACTGGCTCTGAAATAAGGAATTCGGGTGTATCCCTAAACCCTAAACCCTAAGACCCTAAACCCTGAACTTTCTATCCCCTGTATAACCTTGTAAGGGATGACATAGGAACCCTTCTCGTGCCCCCATTGAAGCAGCAAGCTTCGGAGAATCGGAGGCGTAGGTTGTTGGCTGGTCTTCCTGATTCTTAGCAGGGGCTGAGGGAATGAGGCACCTTATATCCCCCCCATTTATGCCCTTTAAGAACTTCAAGGGTTCCCTCCCAAATCTGCAGATTACAGGTAGGCGCTTGAGGATTTCAGGATGCTCTGTTGTTTCTCAGGGTTTAGGGTTTAGGATTTAGGGTATAGGGTTCGGGGTTTAGGGTTTAGGGTTTAGGGTTTAGGGTTCAGGGGTTTAGCGGTTTCAAGGCGAGTCTCTTGTTCTGCCGCTCGCGCTCGATGATGCGCTCGTGGAGCTCATCCTGGGCGCCCACACCCACTTCGATCTCGTGCTTCGGTTGCTTTACATGGGTGTTTCCGAAATTCGGGGTACCTTATTTGGGGTCCTTATTATACGGAAATCCTGCTATTTGGGGGACTATATTGGGGGTCCCTTGTTTTCGTAACCTCCATATGTATACTAGACCCAAGAGTAACCTAAGAAAAAGGGGTGCCCTTTTTGGTTAAAAGGGGCTGGATAGGGAACCCAAACCTTAAAACGGTAATAAGGGCCTACTCCGGGTCCTAGTATATATGGCGAGTTCTCGAAGTTTGGGTTCCCGTGTTTGGGGTGGCCTAAATACTTGATAGGGATTAGAGTACCTCGTATTCGAATCCCGATTAAGGACCGCTAGTATAAGGGTGAACATCCCAGCCGACAGCCATTCAGCCGAAATTACAACTGCGCATGCCACACCCCAAATCCTCAAACCAACAAACCCTGAACCCTCAACCCTCAACCACACGAGACCCAGGGGTAAGCTAGGAGCACAAGGGCACCCTTTTGGTTTGTAAAGGGGCTAGAAGAGAACCAAAACCCTGATTAAACAAAAAAGGAATAGAGGCCTACTCTGGGTCCTAGCATACCATTGTGAATCAGGTGGCTCGTTCTCGCTTGTCTCGCGCCCGCTGCTCCTGCACGTTTCTGGGGGCTCAAAGGTTGGGTGTGTTTCGTCCACTGCTAGGTTTTAGAGTTCAGGGTTTCGGGTTGGAGTCTGGGGTTTCGTCTTGAAAGTGATCCCAAATGATCCCAAATAAGGGCCTCTGAAAAAACGACAAATACATCCCCTGGGTTAGGTTCAGGGTTGAGGGGTAGATTCACAATGGAGCAGATGCCTCACAAAAGGGGCAGTGGAGGTTTGGAGGATTTACAGTAAGACTAGGGGCTTGCGAGGTTTTTTGTATTTTGTGTTTTTTTTTTGGGGGGGGGGTGTGAGGGAGGGGGTGAGGGTTGGGAAAAAAGGGTTTAGGGCTCAGGGGCCGAAAGTAAGCAGGACAAAAATACAACATCCGAGGTAACTCTACCCCACGAACCCTAGCAAGTGCACCAAATGGAAACGATAGAAGCACGAAACCCTAAACCCTAAACCCCAAACCCCAAACCTTAAACCCTAAGCCAACCCTAAACCGGTTTAGGGGCTTTTAGGCTTGAGGGCTTCGGGTTTAGGGTTTAGGGTTTGGGGTTTAGGGTTTAGGGTTTCGGGTTTAGGGCTTAGGGTTTAGGGTTCAGGGGTTTAGGGCTTGACCCTCGAACCCACTCCGCTGGGCATCCTATCCTCCTTGTGGTCGGACGGAGGCTTGTCCACGGACGCCATGGCAGGCGGACGCTAATCAGTTTTATTGGGGGGGGGGGGGGGGGGGGTCCCTGTCCAGGTTTCTACTATCAGACTGAGCCTCATACTTAGGGCAGGAGCATGGTTTTAGTTAAGACCCCATACATATCTATATCAGTATCTATATATATATATATATATATACGTACATCTTTATATATATAATGACATGTCAACGCACATTGAAGATGGTTGTTTCCTATCTTGCTGATAGCTGTTTTCATGAAGCTTGCTAGAGCTAGCCAGTGGCGATGATGGCTGCCTGAATGTTTGGGGACCACACCTATAACCTTCGAGCTGAAGCGGCGCAATAGATCCTTGGACGGCGCTCCGAAACCGTGCGCCTACAAGCGCGGCCGCAGGTGCGAAGGGTACAGTTTGCAGGGTGTCACGGGCTTTTAGGGTATATAGAGCGTGCATTGGAACTCATAGGTTGTACCGAAACAAACTGTCACAAGTTCGGTAGTGGTCGAAGAAAGTGAAGGGCCTGGCTGCCCGGTCAAACTGTGAGTTTTCTCGAAGAGTTCTCGACGACACATCGGAATTAGTTCGTCAACATGCTAGAGAGAGATAAATCCGCCTGTCTGGAGAGCATGAAACGCCCCTCCAACCTACAATGTGCAAGCATGCCAAGGGAAGGACGGGCCTGAACTTTGAGCCTCCGTCCTTGAGCAGGATGCCTGCGACAACGGTCTTCCGCGCAAATGGAAACAAACTCCCCGACAGCAAGGCGTCTTCTTGGCTGGGGGCCTGGCTGCGCGGCAAAGTTGGTCAAGCTATCAACACGACAGAAAGGTCATGTCCAGTTAGTAGTGTGATTGGCCCATAGGCCGGCTGGGCCTGGCGACATGGGGCGTCAACCACATCAACTCTCGATGTGCAAGCATGCCAAGGGAAGGACGGGCCTGAACTTTGAGCCTCCGTCCTTGAGCAGGGTGCCTGCGACAACGGTCTTCCGCGCAAATGGAAACAAACTCCCCGACAGCAAGGGGTCTTCTTGGCTGGGGGCCTGGCTGCGCGGTCAAGTTGGTCAAGCCGTCAACACGACAGAAAGGTCATGTCCAGTTAGTAGTGTGATTGGCCCATAGGCCGGCTGGGCCTGTCGACAAGGGGCGTCAACCACATCAACTCTCGATGTGCAAGCATGCCAAGGGAAGGACGGGCCTGAACTTTGAGCCTCCGTCCTTGAGCAGGGTGCCTGCGACAACGGTCTTCCGCGCAAATGGAAACAAACTCCCCGACAGCAAGGGGTCTTCTTGGCTGGGGGCCTGGCTGCGCGGTCAAGTTGGTCAAGCTGTCAACACGACAGCAAGGTCATGTCCAGTTACTAGTGTGATTGGCCCATAGGCCGGCTGGGCCTGTCGACAAGGGGCGTCAACCACATCAACTTTCGATGTGCAAGCATGCCAAGGGAAGGACGGGCCTGAACTTTGAGCCTCCGTCCTTGAGCAGGGTGCCTGCGACAACGGTCTTCCGCGCAAATGGAAACAAACTCCCCGACAGCAAGGGGTCTTCTTGGCTGGGGGCCTGGCTGCGCGGTCAAGTTGGTCAAGCTATCAACACGACAGAAAGGTCATGTCCAGTTAGTAGTGTGATTGGCCCATAGGCCGGCTGGGCCTGGCGACAAGGGGCGTCAACCACATCAACTCTCGATGTGCAAGCATGCCAAGGGAAGGACGGGCCTGAACTTTGAGCCTCCGTCCTTGAGCAGGGTGCCTGCGACAACGGTCTTCCGCGCAAATGGAAACAAACTCCCCGACAGCAAGGCGTCTTCTTGGCTGGGGGCCTGGCTGCGCGGTCAAGTTGGTCAAGCTATCAACACGACAGAAAGGTCATGTCCAGTTAGTAGTGTGATTGGCCCATAGGCCGGCTGGGCCTGGCGACAAGGGGCGTCAACCACATCAACTCTCGATGTGCAAGCATGCCAAGGGAAGGACGGGCCTGAACTTTGAGCCTCCGTCCTTGAGCAGGGTGCCTGCGACAACGGTCTTCCGCGCAAATGGAAACAAACTCCCCGACAGCAAGGGGTCTTCTTGGCTGGGGGCCTGGCTGCGCGGTCAAGTTGGTCAAGCTGTCAACACGACAGCAAGGTCATGTCCAGTGCTAGTGTGATTGGCCCATAGGCCGGCTGGGAAAGTTGGCAAGACATAATGCAGTCAAAGCATGCCAAACACCCAAAGGGAAGGACCGTGCTCGGACCTGTCTGCACGGTCCGAACTTGCTAAGATCCACGCCGCTCCCGCTTTGATCAGACTGACGCCAATCCAGGATGAAACTGCTTCGGCTCCCTAAACCCTAAACCGAAACCCCCGACCCCAAACCCTAAACCCCTAGGCAAAGGCGCTACTGCGAATAACTGTAAATATCACCTTCGAGCTGAAAAGGCTAAACTAAATAGACAGCGATAGCGACACAGCCTAAGGGCCCCTATAAAACAGCACGGTATACACTGCACCCTCAACCCTAAACCTTGACGCTTAGTTCTTACCCCCTCACATAGTTGACCTGAACTCCTTTCGTGTACTCAACCCTAAACCCTAAACCCTAAACTCCCAACCTTCCAAAGGAAGCCCTTTGCAGCCGCGAGCACTGCATCTTCGAGGACACTTTTTGACAGGCGAGCCAACGAGGTCGGATTCCCAGCACCTCCTTTACCAAGGTTTAGGGTTTAGGGTGAGAGGTAAGAGGTAAGAGGGTAAGAGGGTAAGAGGGTAAGAGGGTAAGAGGGTAAGAGGGTAAGAGGGTAAGAGGGTAAGAGGGTAAGAGGGTAAGAGGGTAAGAGGGTAAGAGGGTCACAGGGTAAGAGGGTACGAGGGGGCAGATTGAAAGCATGATGGTATAGGGAACCCTTAATGAGGGGACATGTTAGCAATTCTCTAGGCTCCGGTCCTACACCTTGTGGAGGGCTTCAGGAGTACGAAGCGAAGATTGTCCGAGTGCCGGGAGGTCGATTTAGGGTTGGGGATTTGAGGTTTAGGGTTTAGGTTTTAGGGTTTGGGGTGTAGGGTGTAGGGTGTAGGGTGTAGGGTTTAGGGTTTAGGGTTTAGGGTTTAGGGTTTAGGGTTTAGGGTTTAGGGTTTAGGGTTTAGGGTTCAAGGTTTACGGGCTAAGGGAACCCCCAAACCTGCATCCCGGCCACAGGGACACCTGGGTCTACTCCGGCTCGCTGCATCACACTGCTCAGATGCCGCGGAACCTGCGAAACGTTCAGGGTTTAGGGAGTTTAGGGTTTAGGGTTTAGGGTTTAGGGTTTGGGGTTTGGGGTTTAGGGTTTAGGGTTTAGGGTTTAGGGTTTAGGGTTTAGGGTTTCTGGTTTAGGATTTCTGGTTTAGGGTTTAGGGTGTAGGGTGGGATGTTGCCCCCTTATTCTAACAGTCCTTACTAGGTATCATAGTACCCCCTATTAGATATTAAGGGTATTAAGGACTGTTAGCATAAGGGGGAACATCCCAACCCTAAACCCTACACCTAATATCCTCAATATCTAATAGGGGGGACTATTATACCTATTAAGGACTGTTAGTATAAGGGAGAACATCCCAACCCTAAACCCTGCACCCTAAACCTCAATGCCAGGGGCTTTCGTAAAGGATCGGCGGACTCAGTAAGTAGTTATCAAGTAGTAGATACTGAGTAGGGTTGTGAAGTCAAATGAACTGGGTTGTCGTGGAACACGGTGTGGACTTCCAGCTGGCAGCGCTTCCCGCGCACGCGATGGGTATTGCAGGGCTGAAGCAATTCTCCTGATGTTTCTTCGGCACGTCTGCCAAGGTCCCTGCATCCTCTGGCTCTGATCTGCACCCTAAACCCTAAACCTAAACCCTAAACCCTAAACCCTAAACCCTAATCCGTCTCCCGCTTCGTGAGTGGGGCCTGGATGCTGTCGAACGCAGTCTGCGGAGTCCGGAGGTGGTGGCCCTGCGCCTTCTTGGCCAGCAGTGTGCGGATGTTTTGTTCCGGCAGCACATTTGACCACTAGCCAGCCGGCGCCATGAGTAGGGTTTAGGGTTTAGGGTTTAGGGTTTAGGGTTTAGGGAGAAGGGAGTTTAGGGTCTAGGGTCTAGGGTTTAGGGTTTAGGGTTCAGGGTTCAGGGTCCAGGGTTCAGGGTTTAGGGTTTAGGGTTTAGGGTTTAGGGTTTAGGGTTTAGGGTTTAGGGTTTAGGGTTCAGGGTTCAGGGTTCAGGGTTTAGGGTTCCCAAGATCCTGTCAAGCTTCCAGTGCCCCTGAGGAGTTTCGCTGTCGCAAGAATACAGAAGCCCAACCATAAACCCCAAGCCCTAAACCCTAAACCCTAAACCCTAATTGCTCATGGAAACCCTCAACCCTGAGCACTAAACGCTGGATCCCCATAAAGTTGCCTGAAGCCGGTGCCTTCAACGTGCGCTTCGAATCCAAGCCGCCCCCATGCCGTCAAGCATTTGTTTTTCATCGACCCTAAACCCTGAGCCCTAAACCCTAAACCCTAAACCCTAAACCCTGGAGGAATATCGGGTTTAGGGCAACTCTATGTTGACCCCATGCTTGGAGGACCGGTGGCTCAGCAAGTCGGTACACAGCAGATCGAGTTATTACAAGCAATAAGAATCCCAAATGGGTTTCTTTTGGGGTTTACTCCTGCACCCCGAAACCTGAAACCTTGAACCCTGAAACCCTAAAACCCTAAAACCCTAAAACCCTAAAACCCTAAAACCCTGAAACCCTAAAACCCTTACAGCCCTAAAACCCTAAAACCCTAAAGCCCCAAAACCCTAAAACCCTGAAACCCTAAAAACCCTAAAACCCTACAACCCTAAAAACCCTAAAACCCTAAAACCCTAAAGCCCTAAAGCCCTAAAGCCCTAAAGCCCTAAAGCCCTAAAGCCCTAAAGCCCTAAAGCCCTAAAGCCCTAAAGCCCTAAAACCCTAAAACCCTAAAACCCTAAAACCCTAAAACCCTAAAACCCTAAAACCCTAAAACCCTAAAACCCTAAAACCCTAAAACC